TTTCTGTGTAACAGGAAAACACTTCCTCCTGAATCAGATGATTATCTCTGATTGAGTACCTTGCAGCAGAACAACATTTTGAGAAAACAGCAGAAACAATAGCAAAAAAAAAAGAAAGAAAGAAAGAAAAGAATTTTAAAGCAATAAATGTAATGTCTGTGAAGCTTTTAGGGAGATTCTGAACCAATTAGACCTTGCAAGAAAAACAGGCGTGCATTTTGGCTAGGGGAGAAATGTAGCCGTACAGGGAGGAAGGAGACGCATCGCTGACCACTGGGGATGTTTGTTCTTTCTGAATCCAAGTCAGAAGCTGAATTCTGAGTTTTCTCAGGAGAGCACTGCTTCCAGGCAGAGTAACTACCAGAGACGGCGGGATCTTGAGTCTAACAATGGAAAACTAAAAACTGAAGAACGAAGTTCTGAAAGAAGTGAACGGCTAAAGCCGATGCTCAGATCTTCTTTTTGCTAAACTCACTTCTGCGTGGGTCTGGAGGCAGAAAGGATTTGAGCAACGGAGTGGAGTTTCTGGATGTTTCTCCGGTTTTAGGAAATGAAGATTGTGCTTGAGAAACTACCAGGAACACAGGCGCCACTGCCCACATCAACCCTTCAGCTGAAGCTCGTGGGTTTTTGCTCTGTTAACTTCTCATTTTAGTGGTGCATCTTAGGTGTACATAACAACAACACTCACCACGGGGCGTTTGTACCTCTGCGTGACATATCTCGCTTCCTTTCTCCCATTCCTCTCCCCTCCCTTCAATTCGTCTTCCCCTCTTTGTTTACAAAAGCTTTGTTTTTATCTTTCTTTCTGTTCTTTGTGGATGTTCAGAGGGAAGACAAGCCAGAAGAGGACAGAGAGTTAGCAAATTCAAACTCTTGCCACAACTCAGATCAGTCTATGAATAGATTATGAATTCTCACATCGATTACTCCATAGAAAAAAAGATATCTTTTTTGAAGGAAGACAGTTTTCTAAATATTCTATAATTGTTAGTGTGACACGTCTAGTGTTTAGAAATGTCAGAAGGCAGTCAGACACGAGACAGAAGTCAAGCAGGAGAAACAGACAAGGACACTTCAAATACTGGAGTCAAAGCTTTAACTATTATTATTATTAATAAATATTTACAAATAAAGAGAAGATGACTATTTTAGAACTTATAAAATACCTAACATTAAGAACTCAATTGATGATTTTAATACAGGACTGAATACATCAAGCATCTATATTTGTTAATTATATACTAAATCAGTAGGGAAAATCTAAGCACATCACAGAGAGATAAAGGATAGAATGTTATTGTACAGGAATGTTTTGTCACAGTTATAGTTAGTGTCTTAGAAGGAAAAAGAGAATCAAATAATATTGGAAAAGAAAACAGCTCCCTACCTTTCAAAAATGATAAAAATGAAAGCTAGCATCAAATATCTAAAAAAAAAAAAAAAGTAAAAACGGCATAAATAAAACTGTTTTAGGCTCCTATTAACATAGCTGTGCGCAAAGGCCAGACTACTTTAAAGGTGGAGCGAGAACACAATTATGACAGTAACTGCGTCAGCTTTTTCAGCGAAGTCGACCCGCTGCAGCACTGCGCTGTGACGTCACGGTCGCTCACTCCGCTGGCCTCGCCCCTTCTGACGCGCACACTCAGCGCTTCAGGGGTGGACAGTACATCCGTATTTAAATTTTTAGAAGTCGGTGTTCAGTGAGTCCCTTAAAATCCATAATTATATAAAAGTTAATCTTTTTGTTTTGTTTTGTTTTGTTTTTTTCAGCACTTGAGATTGAATGCAGGACCTTAATACTGAGAAACATACGTTGACATTGAGCTACGTCCCTCGTCGTCTTTTTTTTTTTTTTTTTCTTATTTTTAGACCAAGTGTTCCAAAGTGCCTAAATTGCAAGTGTGGGCTCAAACCTGTAATCCTCTTAGTTCAGCCTTTGAGAAGGCTGAGATTACAGGTTTGCACCACTAACACACGCAAATGATTTAGTGAATAATTTTGACAGTCATCCTGATTGGCTGGAGAGACACCTAGGAAATTAGTAAAGACCAGTTCTGAGTGTCCGTGCGTCTGGTCCACCTGATTCGGGACTATATCTGCCCTCTGGTCTCTGGGCATCTTCCTCTGCACTGTTTCTGCCCATCACGAGTTCAGCCGCTTTGCTCCACCACACACTGCTGCCCTGCGACCAGCTGTGTTCTGAGTACTGTGAAACCGTGAACCAAATTAACCCTCTCCTTTAATTTGCAGGTATCAAATATTTTGTCCCAGCAACAGAAAAGATGATCAATGAATAAACGAATAAAGAAATAAATAAGCAAATCTATTCTTATGTATAATTTTTCTTTTCATTTCTTTACCTTTATTTATCCACTCTCTTACTCTATCATCATTTATTAAAACAACAAGAATTATGCCAGAAACAGCAAATGCAGTGCTATAAAATTTAAAGAAAATTTTCAGTATTCCTTGTCTCCTTTTGTCTTTCTCTCTCTCTTCATTTTAATTTTAGATAGCAGTAATAATGGTTTCCCTTATTTCCCCAATAAAAGTGAATGAATTGGTGGAAATTATATACTAAGGTTATAACAAAACTCATTAAGAAACCAGTGATATTGGTAAAATTAAATAATAATTAAATTCTAATTAAAAATTTATGATTCTGCTGTTGTTAACCATATTTCCTTCACTAGTCTAATCCACAGACTGTAATCAGCAGGTCATTTACTCAGAGACACCTTCCCATACCCAGGCTGTATGCTCCAATGGCATTTAAAATTCTTTAAGTAGTTAAAGCAATTGTAAATAATTACTTTGGTAATTTTTAACTTGAAATATGTATTTCCAATGTCACCCTATATGATTCATAAGAACAGAAAAAATGGTAGGTATCAATTGATGGAAAAACTGGACAGGTTGGGAGAAGAGAAAGGAAAAAGGGGAAGAGAAAAAGTGGTAGGGAAAGAAAAAAGTGGGAAAAGGAGTGTGTTGTGCAATAAACTCTGATAATCACGCTCCAAAAAGCTGATGAAATATTTTCAGGCAACTGTCAAACTTTGTGTAAGAAATTAAATATCCCGTCTAGTACAGGGTTTGACCCTATCTTGGCGTCTTTGACAATGGATAGGTTAAGTCTCGCCTCATCCCTCTTGCTGCCCTGTCTGGACGAGCTGGTAAGAAATCCTTGAGGTCTGTGTTTTCACCTGGGGAGATTCAAAACGTGTACCCTTCAGCCTTCACCAGAGCTCCAACTCCAGGGAAATACAAACCGTAAGCCTCTCTCCTTTGTCAGCCTGCTGTGACGTCCCTGCTTTCCCCAGAAAGACTCAAACACGGAAATAACAAGCCTTCCCTGCCTTCCTGGCGTGTGACTGGTGCCGTGGGTTTGGCACCCAAAAGGAATGTGAGATGAGCACTCCTTCTTTTGATGCAGAGAATGCTATTCCCACTCTCTGCAGTCTCATAGATTTCTATTTGACAATGTGAAGTTATACTTTAGTAAAATAGTGCAAGTTATAGAACTTTAGTGACTTTTTGTGTGATAAAAAAATATCCAAAGCCATGTATATTTATGCCTCACAGTTAGCTTTTTTTCCCTATGTTATATACGACTTTCTTGCATATACTTTGTCGAAGAAAAATTTTCTGATTTTTGTGATAAAGAAATAAATACAACAGACTCTTGACCAGAATATGTATAATCTGACTATATGATACCCTTCATGAAAGGTACAGTATGTTATATTTTTACCATGATAAACAATGAGACCAACTATAAATGGAACAATCTCAAAAATATAGTCTTAGGGAGGCATGGTGACATATGCCTATAATTCCCAGCTACTCGAGAGGCTGAAGCAGGGACATCACAAGTTCAAGGACAGTTTGCATCACTTCACATGACCCTATCTCAACAAGATCAACAAAAACTGAGGGTGTACCTCAACAAGCGAACCACGGAGCAGCCCTGATTCCACCTGGAGCACCACAAGGAAAGTATCAGTATTACCATAAAATGACTTTCTGTTCATATTTTTAAAAATTATGATAGAAATCTACATTAAAGTCCCATAAATTGTTATTTAATTTTACTTTATGGTTAATAATAATTCATTTTCTCTATTGTCATTTAAGTTGACATGAAAACATAACAAAAAAGTTTACGTTTTCTTAATCAGAATTTTGAAAATTATGTTATTTTTTTTGAGTAAGTAGACTCTAGACAGAAACAGTTCATCTACCTACAGAATATCATTGTCTATTGTGTCTGCTCAGCAAAAGAACCCAACTCCAATGCTTAGAGTCAAGTGAATTGCCATGACTGTCTTTCTTCTAAAGTATGAGAAGTTATTCTTCTGGTTTTCAGTTTTTAGATTTTCACCACAATGAATTTGAGAAAATAGTAATGAAACAGATAGGCATTAACTATATTTTTTTGTGTAATCCATGATTTTCATGTCTGTTTACAGTATAGATAATTCTGGACACCAAAATACTATTACTTCTTTAATAGCATTACGTTTGTTTTTACTCATAAGTTCATTTGAATTTACAGTGTTGACTTCATTTACCTGTATAATCTGAAAAGATTTTATGTTTATTCTATTTTATTTTACTTATTTATTTTTTTGGTACTGGGGATCAAACTCAGGACCTCACGCTTGCGAGGCAAGCACTATGCCACTGAGCTATATCCCCAGCCCCTTTATGTTTATTTTCGATTCCCAGACTCATAAGCTCTTGGAATGCTTGTGATATTAATTATTTAATAATATTATATTCTTCATCCTTCAGTCGAATTATAACTTTTGTCAATTTTCTTAACCTTTCTTCCTGCACAAAATATTTTGACAGAAATATCAAGAACAAAATTGTCTTTCAAAGTACAATAAACATTCAGCACTTCTACCATAAGATATTTTTCTAAAATTCTGGGAAACAAAAGTAAAGTTTATGAGTAGGTGAAGAAATTATAAAATCTATTCTCTACTTTTAGGAAAGCAAAGAGTATGGACCAAAACAAGCTCTTCCTCCACTCAACATGCAGACTGCCTTGTTCAGAAACCAGTAAAGGGGTGCTTGGTAAGAGCTTGACTCTCTAGCTACACATAAGTAATCTTTATAGATGTGAGCAGCAATGTTCATGAAAAATTTAACCCAGAGACTCACTTTAAACATCGCAAATTCTAATTCTTACAGCATTATTTTTCTCTTCACACATTCTTACTGATGTAATAAAATTCCTTACCCTGGGTAATTTAGGAGCAATATAAACTGATGTATTGTACGTCTGGAAGCCAAGCAGTCCAAACGCTCCGTGAGCAGGCTCTGCGCTTGGTGAGGAATGCGCTTCACTGAGGACAGCTCCTCCGTGCTGTCTCCTACAGAGGAAGGATAAAGTGGGTCTTTCTAGTTCTCTGTCTTTTTTAAGTGCAAGAATCCGATTCAGATGAGCAGAGATGTCATGGCTAAGCTCTTCTCCAATCTCTCTCTACCCTGGCCCTTAAATTTTGGAAAGATACATTCATTCAAGCAAGAACATTCAAGCAAGTTTCTCTAATTAATAATATATTTTAAAAATATTTTTCAAGCAGTTAATGAATTTCTGTAATCTCACTAAAGTCTGCGGGAACTGGCATCATCTTGCTGGTAAAAGAGATGTTCAGGAACGAGCTTTGGCTTTGATGTGACCATCAGTCCTGTCCTCACTTCACGGTCCCTTCCCAGCCAGGAGAGGCAGGTTGGGGCACACTGAAACACCCAAGACGAAGGAGCCATCATAGACAAAGTGGTTAACAGTACTAACACTCAGAAAGACAAAGGTAAAGAAATTCTAGGCAAGTGGAATTTCATTGGAAGGGTTTAGGAAATTTCATAAGGCTGTGTTTAGTTACAGTATTATGATAATACACAAGAAGTAAAAACAGTTTAAAGCATACACTGTGTTCCAGTCACAGTTTTTGTAAGTTGATTTCAGAAAAGGATGATATCAAAATGGAAAAAAGCCAAGGAGAAAATCCAAAGGCATCAATCTTCTTCAATTTTCTTCATTCCTTTTTATTTTCATTTGCTAGCCGCTATATGCTTGAAATGTAAACTCAAATAATTTTGACAGGATATTTATAAGTAACTTAATTCCACTTACTGGAATGTAAATTGTTTGCTATGTTGCTGGATGCAGTTCTAAATGCATATATATATACATATATATGCTTGTGTGAGTATACTTTTAATTTAATTTTATTACATTTTCTTATACTATGACATATCCATAATAAGTAGTATTTTGTCCAAATTACTGCGATAAAAGTGAGGTAAAGTTGGATAATCACCACACTTACACGTGCAGAAAGCATTCCACCTCCCTGCTGCGGCAGAGCATTGACCACTGACATCTGCTTTCCTGGCACACAAGAAAACTGGGCAAACGTGACAAAAAATTAATTTTATACAGCTAATTGCTTCACAAAATCAGGGTCATTCAAAATAAAGCACACAACACACTCTACAGTTTTCTTTTTCACTCACAGGTGTGTTCAACCCATTTTCTCACTTGCATACACCACCAACTCTGTGAGGGAAGGATTATCAGGTTGATGTCACTGCCAGCCAAAAGCTTAAGATGCAAAGAGGTAGCCATAACAATTAGGAAAGGGGCTGGGGATTTAGCTCAGCGGCAAAGCTCCTGCCTGGCAAGCGCAAGGTCATGAGGTCGGTTCCCGTTACCGGAGAAAAACAAACAAAAAAAAAAACAACTAGGAAAGTAACAGATTTCCTACTTTTTATCTGATGTAGAATACTCGTCAATCACCTGCAATTGCCACAGCTGCTACTCTAAGTTGCTAAGACTGCCTTTTCAGGATGAGCTTTCAGGAAAATAAGAATTATGATTGTCCAGGTTCTCATTCTAAAGTCTTATGACCTCTTCCTTATTAATTAACTGGAGTGCTCTGATGCTTACACCACGAATTTGAAAGTAAAGGTACTAGTGTGCTTAGGTATTCCGTGTTTGTTACGTGTTTATTTTTGCCGTGCTTGGGATGGAACGCAAGGCCTTCACACCAAGCTACATCCTTAATCCTTTCCTATGTTCTGAGGCAGAGTCTTGCTAAATTGCTCAGCTAGGACTCAAACTGTCAGTCCTCCGGCCTCGGCCCCCCAGGGTGCTGAGATCGCGGATGCATAACCAGGCCAGGCTGAGTGAGCCTGTTCTGCAGGTCTCTTCCAGGGCTTTGCCCACCTCCTTCCTCATACACTTCTCACCGCTGTACTACAATTTCTCCTAATGAGAAGGCTTATTCCACCAAAATCCTGGTGCATCAAAACGCAAATCTAGAATTATAAGTAATACAGATGGAAAGGAAGAATATATACTCAAGGAGGCTGTGAACGTATCTCTTTGCAACACTATATGAACCTTATTTTGATATTCAAACAGTACCATGTAGCTTATAATGAAACTTTAGTTCATTTTCTAACCTTACCTTTTATTATTTATAATCCTCAAGTGAAAAATACTTTATTTTCCTCATATTTAAATAAAAATTACATCTACATCTTAATTTTCAGTTGCAGGTATGACCTGTATATTTTCTCTCATGGAAAACATATATATATACATACATGAATATATATATATATATATATATATATATATATATATACACACACACACACATATATATATAATCCCTATATCTCCCCAATTAACTATACAAGTACATATAGGGCAACCCTTGTATCCATGGTTGCACTTTCGGCACTTTCAGTTACCAGCAATCAACCACTGCCTTAAATCATTAAATGGAAAATTCCAGAAATTACCTGTAAGCTTTAAACTGAGCACCATGCTGAGTAGCAGGAGGAAATCTCAGACCATCCCACTCCTTCCCATCCAGGAAGTGGACCACTGCTTTGTCCAGTGTGTCTGCATAGGACATGAGACGTTCTTGTTGTTCCCTTCCTGGGCATCGCAGTTATCAGATCAACTGTCCTGGCACAAAGGTGCTTGTGTTCAAGTTGATCCTTAATTTATTTGAGTATAGGCCTAAAGTACTAGAGTAGTGACACAAAGACAGCCCTCGAGTATAAAATATGTAAGGATTAATTAATTAATTCTGGTACTTTGTGGCCATGCTGAAAGACCTTAGAAAAAACACAGCACATGTATTGAGCGCGTTGTAAACTACGTGCTGCTTCAGGGAGCCGCTGAGGGAGTCTTGGGATGGACCCTCTGCAGCTAAGGAGGGGACTACTCCATACCGTCCCTTCCTGTAGCTCACAGAGACTCACTGCAGTTTAAGGAGATAAATTAACATTTTTAAAGGTAAAAAGCAAAAAATGATGAAACATTGATCCCGAAATTGCTTTAAAACATCATAGACGATACTGTTTGCCCAAATAATAATATCCAGTATAGCATTTTAAGTAATTATATGGATACTTCCATTTAGAAGTAAGTACCCAAAAAACCTCTTCCCACAAAGATAGAATGGATATTTGAATCCTCACATCCGATGGACAAATGTAACATTTAATGACATATGCGTATATATACTCGGTAAAATAAGCTTCTTCAAGTTTTTGAAAAGTAAAGGACTATGAATGAAGGGAAGGACAAATAACTTATAATGAATAAGCAGATTAATATACAATCAGAATTTGTACCCTTACTTTATTCTGCCTTGTGTTATAACCACTTCACGTCATGCACTACTTCCTTTCTACAGGTTAAGCTATTTTGGAAAAGCAATCTTGCCTCAATCACTGCTCTTAAGGTGATGTTTGGAATATTCTACTGTATAAAGTTGATTCTTAATATTGATTGAACTGAGATACCTCTTTTTTAATTTCCCATAGTCCCCCAAATCTGATGTTTTGTATATTCAATTATTCTGAACATAAATCTTGTTTCAATCATCTCTCCAAGGGAAATGTCCAAACATCATCACTGTTTTCAAAAGTTTTAACTTATCATCGTGACTGAAAATAGAAGGCTTTAGTGTTACAAGGCTAAAGAATTCAGAAATAGAGCCGAAGTCTACTCACTGCAACTTTACACTTTGCATGCATAGGAGTACGTGTTCTATAAGTAAGTCTTTGAATTCTGAGAAAACATCTCCCCGGATGTGATTTCCAGCTACTTAGATGCCAAGCCTTCATCCATCACCAACAAAAGCCCAGCACATCTAAATCTTTGTGTGGTTACAACTGAAAGGGAATTGCTCTCAGGACATTTTGCTGCAATTCAGTGTCTACCAAAAGATTCCACTGCCCAGCAGGAAATGATAAACTTCAGCATTAGAGCCCCCTTCAAAGGACTGTACCGAGAGCTCTAACCGGTTTTTCTCTTGTGTTACTATGCAGTGCTTCTCATTAGGCTACCTGCGGCGCAGTACTTACAGAAAGACTTGACAGATCTAAAATGTCACTACAATCACTTTTACCAAGTGCTGCCAACCAGGTATAGTCTGCTTTTAGTTTTGTGCAAGGAAATGTGGAAAGGCCACAGAGGTCTTTCTTAATGGGAACAAGCAATTTAGTCTGAGCTCTAAAATAAGGACTTTTGTTAAACTCTGCAAGCATCTTGACAGAATTCACCCTGGTGAACACTGTATTTATTAAGATAAAGGTCATCCTATTCCATGCATCCACCAGCTTACAGTGCATATGAAATGTATCTGTTTATCTAGCCTTCTCTTTAGATAGCTATGTAGAAAAAAATATGAATATGGATGCAGTCATTCAACACCATGTTGTCTTATAATTGATTTACTATTTTGTGCAGTTTATGAGCGTTGGGGGGCCAAAAGAGCAGCACTATTTTTCTTTCTTGAGTTGAAGATAAATTAAAATTAAAAGATAGGCAAGGATGTCGGGCAGGTGGAAAAGAGAGTATTAATGCTGAAAGATGTCCTATGTATGAGTTGACAAGTCACATCCTCATGGTAAACTCCAGAATCAAACTGATTTATTTATATGCAGGCAGTGTTATGCTCTACAAGTCTCCCTGTGCAAGAAATGTTCCAGTGACAGAAGGCCCAGAAAAAAACAAAACATGAGTGCAGACAGAAAGCTCACAGCGGAAGAGCAGAAACAAAGCCTACAGGATACATGGCTACTTTCCCCTTTGCAGTTGGCCAAGCAGATGGACATCCTGGAAAAAAGGCAGCCAGGGCTTAGCGAAAGGCAAGCAGTGTTACTGCCAGGTGATTCCTTGTTATATTTAAGAAAAATACACCAAAAAGAGGTAATAAAGTGTGCCTTTGATTCTTAATACACTCCAGAAATTTGTTTTGGAAATTTAAATATTAACAAATCGCAAGGTACTTTCAAGATCTGTTTAAAGAAAGAAATGTAGCACTTATACTGTTAGAAATTGTTTTGAGGGTTGGGGATTTAGCTCAGCAGCAAAAGCGCCTTCCTGGCATGCGCAAGGTCGTGAGTTCGGTTCCCAGTACTGGAGAAAAACAAAAAAAAAAAAAAAAAAAAGAAATTGTTTTGAATGCTGTACATTTATTAATTTAATCACTCTACTGAACATAAAGATGGGATGAATGTAATAAATGTAAAGAAATTATGCATAAAGAGATTAAAGAGCTACACCACATAGAAAGCTAGAAGCAAGAAAAAAAGAAATTTAAGCGTTAAATATTGCTTTCAATAAACCAATATACATCAGCGATCCACTTATCCCAGATATCTTTATATATACATATATATGCTTTCTTTTTTTAGTTTTACAGAGAAAATAGCAAAAATAAAATAATAACAAAGGCATAAACAAAACAACTTAAAATGAATAAAAATGATACAGAATCTCAAAGCAAGGTAATAGGAAATCAGCAATAGTTGTTGTATTACATATTGTCATCTTCAAAGTGGTTACTCAGATAACCAGATATAGGCACAAAGCATTGGTGAATTCTTACCATCTTGTTCAATGAAGGCTCTGTTTTGTTTCTAATTTTTTATTACTTGTTATTGTGTTTAATTGTTTGATCAATCTTGCATTCTTACATTTGGTAATCTAAGCAACGTCATTGAAGGTAAGAATATGTAATATAACAACCATTGTTAATTCCTACCATCTTGCTTTGAAATCCTGTATCATTTTTATTGTCTTTGTATTGCTTTGTTTTTGTCTTCATTGTTGTTATTTTATTTTGTCTCTCTGAAATAAAAAAGCCAAAAAGAAGAAAGCGAGTAGCAAGAGCTGAATTCAGACAAATGTTATGTGCTGTCACCTTTTTTTCTTGGACACAACTTCTTCTCTGTTGATAATTTGTTTTTGTTACTGATTATGCTCAATAATCCCTGTCAAATTTCACTCAAGAATGACTACTGCTTTCGTGAAATTATTCTGGATATCGACTCTCTTTACTGTATAATTTAAAATGAAGTTCATGTGTATACTGCAATATCAGCAAAGTTTATTAAGAATAGAATTGAAATGGTATTTGATTTCACAGTAAAAACTGTAGCTTCAGGTAATAGAAAGTCATCCTTCGATAATGAATCTGGGTGGTATCTTCCATTATTATTTGTAATAATGCTGCAATTTTACTTATCTTTGCATATCTGCTACACAAGTTCTGTTACATTTCCATGTTCTTGCCTCATTATATTTTTTGGTAATTCCAAATTTTCATACGGATTTGAAAAGCATATGGTTTAACCAAAACTTTTTCAGCAGTGAGTTACACTGAGTTACCTCAAGCATAGTCTATGCTGGAGAGGTCAATCTAACTTTTCCATTTAAGTGCTTATTTCTGACCATTCCTACTGTCTGTTTAAGCCTATTGGACTAATCATGATGCTGTCTTATAAATTATACCTACTGTGGACACTGAGGATTTTGCCTTCAAGCTTGAATAATATTAAGACAGAGCAGTTTAAGTGATTGAAGTATAGATTTGTAATACAACATGTTTCATCATGTACTTGACATAGCTTAACTACCTACTCATTGTGTAAGTTAGATTACACCAATTTTATATGCTGTCTTGTCAACAACACTGAAAATTATATGCCAGTTCCAATGTTATGTAAAAAAGAAAAATGGAAATTTTGAGGTATTGTGCAACTCGATCACAATCACACAATGATTGCATGGCACAGAGATAATCCAAATGATCTCAATCAATGTGTGCATTTTGAAGTATTTTAATGGAAGTACTTTCTTTTGTGTGCTTTTTATGTGGAAATCCATGGGTTGAATATAAGTTCTTCTCTGTCATTTCAGAACAAATTGAATTTTCTTATTATGTGAATACTTAAATTCAGTTAATATTGGAATAATTAAAATAACGTATGATCTTTTTGTCCTGTATTGATTATCACTCAATAGATCAGAAACCTTTTCAAAGAAAAAGTAGAAAACATTCTTTTTCAGGTAAACACAATGACAGTTATAGTTTCATTCAAGAAGTTAAACAAAGCCTTCCTGCATAAGCAACCTAATAAAAGTACCAAATTTCCTCTCGAATTTGGTTACACCATATGGAATCCTAATGTTTCAAGTTACCACTGTGCACAGCTCAGAGATCTAACTGTAAAATACATAATCACTGTGAAAATCAAGAGCTTTTTTTCCACGCTTTCTTTCAGATCTTCCCAGGAGAGATAACCTACTAGTCATGTTTGAGGTTTTGACTTTATTCTACACCCATCAGGATGAATGGATTCAAGCACCAAATTGTACAAGGGATTAAGAGATCCACTTTGCTGGGGCTTTTGACGTGTTTCAGTCAAGTAGATGGAAAGCAGTTCATAAGAGAGAACTCTCACCCACTGGGACATACTGAAAAACCAGAGCACTGCGGAGCTGTTTAAATTTTATCTATTTTTCTTTATCCCACACTGTTTCCTAAAAAGAAATCCCTGACTATTCTGTGTCTGATGGAAACCAGTGTGCTGGGTTGAAACTCCATTTAAGGACTCTCAGAAGTGGTTTATTTTTATTGTTCAGTTCAATGTGTGGGAAGAGTCAAAGTGTAATATTTGAAATTTAAAGTGAGTTCTTTAAAAAAGGAGTTCTTTAGCATTTCTGAGAACTCACACATTTTCAGGCATTTGTAACTGGAAAGGATGATCTTAGGAACTTAGATCTTTAAAATAGGTTTTCGTTTTTAAATTTCAATTTAAAACACATTTTAACAATAAAAATAGAATAACCCATAGAATAGAGCGTCAGCTATACCGTAGTGCTCCACTTCACTTCATTTCCTATAGACATTTTCTGCTCTGCAGTATTGGTGCTTAATTCTGTTCCCACCATGATCCCCTGTTTTCACATTCCAGTGATTTCTCCTTGGCAGTTGCTTAGATGTGCTTCAGTAGCATAAAGTGTCTCAGAGACTGATAATCTCTGCCTTCATCTACCTAGAAATGAATGTATTTTGCAAACTCTTCCAAAGACATGGTCTTTTCTATGCTGTTGTGTAACAAAACTTTAGAAATATTTTCCATTTTAGTGTTTGAATGGATGACATGTCGATACCATCACTATTCAGTTCTTTTCATCTTTGAGACAAATGTATTCCCTTAGTATTTCTGATATAAGTTAACCAAAACATATATTTATTTAAATAATATTAGCAATTAATATTCTAAATTGATTTACAATTAAACACACCTTATGATTAGTTGTCATGAATACTTTAATAAAAATAATAATTCCTTTGGAGTCAGACATAGTCATACATTGTTTTCATCTAGGAAAAGCAGGACAGGCTGTAGTTGTTGGACTCTCTGACAGCTACAGTCCTAGAATCAAATCCCAAGTGCATCACCAACTGCCTTACTTGAGGTGAAAATGTAACACCAATTCTTTTATGTGTTAAATGGGGATAAATAGTACATAACTTTTAAAGCAATAATTAAATATAACACTTATCCTTTTTTTTAAATCAATTAAAGTTCAATGCAGTCACACTCCCATGAGTGCACAAAAGGTCAAAGAAACAGATTTCTACTTAGATTTATGCAAATATTTAATAACAGACAGGACCAAGACTAAAATAAATTATCTCATAGGCTGGGTTTCCATGTATATAATAGATACTTGAGCTATTTGTAAATGAATAAGGACAGAAATAAAATTTATTTGCTTGAGAGAACTTAGTGCAGAGACTGAAGTTTACTACTGATTTTAATTTTAGAATCCTAATCATATTCTGACAGTTACACCAGCAGATCACCACTTTGAATGGTCTTAATAAAGTGTAGCCCCATCCTTTTTTGTCAGTTATTTTCTTCTTCCCCTTCTCCAGCTCTCCCCCCCCATTCTCTTATTTTCCCTCTTCCTTCTTTCCCTCATTTGTCATCTATCAATCACTTATTTATTGTCTTCAATACACACAATATTATTCTTCGTCTACTTCCATGAAGTGATTTTGCCATCCCTGAGAAGAGGAAGACTAGTAGGGGAGAGACCCCAGCTGCAGAATTCTCAGTCTGTAACATAATTTGAGCAGGAAAGACGGGGTGGAGTTCGGGTGTGTACAGAGAAAGGAAGCTTACGCTCATCAAACATTTTCAGAGTGTCTGGACTTCACATACCTTTGCATATGTCTTCACATCTGATGCACTAAAGAATGAATTTACCTGTTATTCAATAACAATCTGGAGTTCATGTGATTGAGTAAGTTTGTTGGTCCCTCAGGTAAATGTCAGTGTTAGGATATACAAACAAATTTAGTATTTTCCAAGTATATTATTGGACTAAAACTCAATTTGAGCACGAGGATGTCAGGGTAATAAGACTGAAATATGAATATTCCTAAGAGGCATAAAAGAAAAATATGATGATGCATTGAAGATGGTATAATTTTAATTGCTCTGCACATAAAATAGGTTTGGTGAATGTATTACACCATTCAAGAAGACTATGAAATTGAGCTTAGATTACATAATGCTATCAACATGACAGAAAATATAAGGAGATAGCGAATGCCAAAATGAGTAGGTCAAAGGAACAAATGTGAGTTAAAGCATAATGTTAGTATAAAAAAAAGAATATAGCCGATTGGGACAATGATGAAGCTTTTGAAATTCTGTGTAGAAGTGATAAAATATGAGGTAAAATCAGGTTACATTCTACAGCAAATATCACCCAACAGCTTTGTATCTAGTTCGAGTCAATGGTGCTAGGTCAAGCATTTCAGAAATTTCAGAGCCTTGGAAAGTTCCCAGGGCTAGGGGATAAGTTTCTAAAGACGACAGTCTTTACAACAGTAGGAATCACCCAAAGATGGAAAGACG